CTTACTGCATGACAATGACCACATCCTAGATAGATGGAAGCAATACTTCGAGGATTTACTGAATCTCCAAAACGATGTAGTCATTATCACAGAAGAATCAGAAGAGGTAGAGCAAGAAGACCAAATTCAAGAAGAAATAACTATAGCAGAAACAAAAAAAATCATACCAAAGCTTATGAAAGGTAAGGCGGCTGGATTTGATAAAATCACAGAAGAAATGCTTAAAAACATGGGCGACAAGGGCATTGAACTGCTAGCAAAAGTATGTAATAGGGAATGGAGTGAGAGGCAAATACCAAAAGAGTGGGAAGTGGGAGTTATTCTACCCATTTTCAAAAAGGGAGACAGGCGCGAATGTAGTAACTACAGAGGAATGACACTACTGAGCATCACATCCAAAGTATATAAGAGAATACTAGAAAAACGTCTTTTACAAGAAGTTGATTCTACAATGGAACAATCAGAGAGTGGATTTAGAAAACGCAGAAGCGTCCAAGACCACATTTTTACTAACAAGAAACTAATACAAAACGCACAGAACTTAAGCAATGATTTATGCCAAGCCTTTATAGACTTAAAAAAGGCATTTCATTTGATAGTACTCCAAGGAAGATAATTGAAATGAAGGTCTACGTCAAGGAGGAGTCCTAGGCCCCATACTGTTTCAACATTGTCTTGGATGACATAATTAAAGAAACTAGAGCAGAAACATTTAAATTGTATGCCGGAAATAGAAAAGTACTGTGGATCTCAGAGTGTGCATACGCAGACGATCTAGTGATATTTGGGATAAATGAAGAAGTACTTAATCGAAATTTAAAAGTATGGAACGCTGCACTAATTGGTATGTGGAAAAAATAGAAAAACAAACGAAGATTTTTAACACTTAACGGAAATACACTTGAACAAATCGATACTTACAAATACTTGGGAGTACAAATAGTGAACAGAGGAACTGAAGAAACTGAAATAAGTTCCACAATAGAAAGTGCTGATCGGATGAACCACGTAATCAAAAGTACGTTTTTGTCGAAAAAAAAAATATCCCAAAAAGCCAAAGTGACCAGGACGAAACAAGTGATAGTTCCAAATTTAGCACTTAAAGCTGAGAAAAATCTAAAATGAGCTCACGACGATTGTCAAGATATTTGTAAACAATAAACTTCTCCTCTCCACCACAAAAACTGGATATAAAAATAAAATAACAGATAAATAGCCACAGAAGAGTTAAAATATGTGATAAGTATAAGTGACAAATAGTATGACAAGTGACAAACGGCAGTAATGATATTTGACAATTGACAGATTGGGTTACATAGTTTAGGCATATATATCGTACGACTTTCTTTATTTTAATCAAGTAGTTTGTCGTTTTGAATTCTGTTTTGTGTACAATTTGAATTTGGAAAAAATCTGTACATTTCCCATTCTCTTTACCATACGCTTACAATCTCAACTTAACTTATTTGACTCTCCAAACTAGTCTCGACTAAACGTGAACCAGACATCACAAGTTTAAACTTATCCAATAACAGTGAAAGGTTAAAAATGTCGCAATAAATAATAAAAAAAAGAGGATGAAACAGGAATGTAACAAAAAATTAACTAACTAAAAAATTCTTAAAAGCATATAAATATATGTATATATGTATAATTATTTAAAAATATTATTTTGTATAAAGATTGCGAACACACAAAAAAATTACTACTAAAAAAGTTTACAAATACATACTGTGGAAGTTGTTAATGGTGGTTTTTCTCTCTTAAAATCAACTGTGACGTCTATTAATATTTCTCATTATAAATAATTACTTTTTTAATGACGTCTTGCAAGATATTTCAAAATGTAAAAGTTTATTGTAATAGTTAAAGAATATACAATGGAACTACATTATTATATTCTTTTTTATAAACTTCACATTTGCTATCTTGAATCAAAAGTAATTTTCGGTGCACAGACAAAATTTTTCTGAGTGAAAGAGTCACATTTAGGTTATGTTAGGTTAGATACGTCTCTGTTCCACAATATATTACAATTTCCGCCACATTTCCTGTATTAAATTCATTGTATGTCACTAAAGACAAATATATAACAATCATTTAAGAAAAAAATGTAATACTGGATACGTTTGTCATAAATGTGGAAAAAATTATAATAAATAATAGAAAATGAATTTACCTAACCTCACATAACCTGATGTAAGAGTGCCGCCATCAGTTAGAAAATCAACACAACTCACCATCCATTGACAACTCCCAAAAGTCTAATCTAGGTGGAAGGTTTAACCAACTACTCAACCAGATTGTTACATTAATGGCAGTGATATCAGGCTGGTTGTTAAATGGTCAAAACCACGAACAGTTTCTCTCAACTGAAATACCTTACGCTACTGTACATATACATAACCTAACTTTACATAGTGAAAGACTCACAAATTTACACGTTCATGTACCATATTTTACAAATTGTTCCTTTTTAGGAAATCAATCGAACCTTTGATCCTTTTTGCAACGGGTACCGTGTACAAATCGAGAGGGGAACACAAAAATGGCAGCCGATGGAGCTGTTCGGAAATATTAGCCTCTTGGGGAACACAACTGGGTAAGTAAATTATGTTTTTCCTAAAAAAATAATACAAATTCCTGTGTTATCATACTTTTATACTATTATTCGCGATCATTGTCATAAAATGATGAAAATCTTCGTAAGGAACAACCAGAGTGCATATTTTTGGAATATTTTGAGGTTATTATTTTGATTTGGATAATTTGGAGGTTATGGTTATATCTGGACTGTTGGATATTTAAATTTTAATGGGTTTAAAAAGTATTACAGACCAACACTAAATATTTGACAATTTAGCAATGATGATCCAAAAGATTTTCTGTCACTTGTTTAAATTTTTGAATTTTGAATCAAGAAAAATCATAGGAATTTGTAAATAATAAATATTTTGTACTTTTTTCGCCCTCATTACAACCGGAATGAGTCAAATTACTTAAAATTTAGAATATCGAACTAAAAAATCGTTTAAAAAAAATCGCTTTTGCCTTACCGATAAACGCATGCTTACTAACTATGTATATTGCTAATATTTGTGCGCCTGACTTGCCAACCGCTAATTCCGCAATTAAAAATTAATAATATATCACAATAAATTAGTGTCTCTGATTTGTACACGGTAGAAAAATCAGTACAATTATTGACCATTTAAACCATTTTTGCTGGTGATATCTTAGAATAATTACATCAATATTAAAGTTGAATTATTTTGATCGTTCAATAAATTTTGTAATAATAAAGTTTACTCAACATTTTGCTAATAATCACAGAAACATAATATGAGATATAAAAAAAATATTATAGAGGTCATTTTAGGCAGAAGTTTTGGACCGTCCAGAACAGGAAGCCAAAATGTGGTTAAAAGGTGTGTGCAGAAACTATTTTCACAAAAAACTGAACTGAACCTGAAAAGTGATCTAAGTGAGCTGTGACCCTTTAAAAAATGATTGTATTCTTCAGAATGATTGTTGTTTGAGTGAGAAAGTTTGCATTTTGCAAATAATTTCAGAATTTAGTAAGAAATCAATAAAATTGTCTCTTTTTCTCAGAAGTGTTAAATTGCTCCAGACGATGAAGCCAAAATGTAGTTGCACAAGATTTTTTACAAAGAAAAATGCCTAAAATGTCTTCTGGGGGTGCTATACCTTCAGAACAGTCGTTCCGGTACAAAACAAGTGATGTTGAACCATGTGAATGACAGTTGTCCTTGAAAATATCAAAAAATTCCCAAAACAAGCAGTCTACTTGAAAACTTATTTCAAGAATAATTATTCTACAAAACAGATATCTAATTATTAGATCTCGGATCAGTATATAACCTAGAAGGGTGTATATGAGGTAAAAAGAAGTAATGTTGAACCCTTTGGATGACAGTGCCTGTGCAAATATTAAATAGTCCACAAAATGAGGAATCTATACCACAACTGCAAAGTTGTGCATCATCTAGAAACAGTTTAATTGGGGTAAAAAAGTGATATTTAAACCTCTGGAACAGTTGTTTAAAAAAGAACAAACTGTGGATGAATATTATTGACCTACTATGATTCAAAATTATTGTTTGATTTGCTAGACCCAAAAATTATTGAATGATATGTAAAATGTTTGGAAACAATCATAATACTAGTAAAACAAGAGCATTATCCTTGTTATTGCTACTTCTTTGGTAAATTGAGGAAATAAAGTTCACAATTTAAAAAATTCTTGAATGAATGTTGAAACGGGGAATGATTTGTTATATTTTGTATATCTACCTACGAAAAATGTTCTTTCGTAATAGACTAATTCTTCTTGATTATTTCCTAAGATTAATCAAAGCAAAAGAAAGTGATTGTTGCCAATTTAGCACTTGTTGACAAGACATTTGTAAAATTTTATTTCTTTAAATAATAAATCGTTGGGTGTATGGTTATGTGTAATACCAAACACTGGAATATAGACTAAAGCACTTCAATTTAACAAATAAGGAATGTTAACATAATAAGCAAAAAGACTATACAACAATTTGGTAAGGAATCAGCACTAAAAAAGGACCTAAAGGATAAGGCAAATGTGAATGTCTGCCTAAAATGACTATCAGCACAAGATAATATGAAATAAAACATAAGATAAAGAAATTCTTGGATAAATTCAGGGTAAATACCAAAATCTTTGATAATTTTTGAGTAATCTATATAAAAATTATGTTTTTAAAATAATTTGATATGTTTTGCTTATATGAAACACATTAAAAATCGATCAACACGATGTTGAGCTAAAAGTAATTAATTGCATCTAAATTCAAGGTCAATTTTTCCTATATACAACTTTTTTATTACAAATATATTTACTTCTTAATTTGTCAATAATTCTTGGCTTCAAAATATGACATCATTACTCTAATAACTATATTAAATACAAAGGCTCCAAAATATTAATTATTTTAAATAACAACAGTATATCACGTTTGCTTGGAAATCTGCTTACGACTACGCTTCTGCCTAGGTTGCACTTCGTTTGAGAACAGCGAGGGGCTTAGGGCGGTTTTTGAAGATGGCTGCAAGTGCGGTATCGACACTACCCTCGTCGGTTTGTACTCTTTCTCTGACACCCATTCGTCGGCGATGCTGAAAATGAATTAAGTTATTATTTTTCATAGTGACTAATACAATACTGAGTAAAAACACACCATATAAGGGGTATTTAAATTTTTCAAAAATATTTGTTAGTTTTCTCAGGATTCCATGCAAAAAAAATGAATGCATTTAAAAAGCATTGGTCTGAAATTTTCCGCCTACGCTCTTAACGCAACTAAACCGATTTTCGTAAACAAGTAACTATGATTGTATAAAAGTAGTTTCAAGTAAAAGGTACCTACATAAACAAACATAATGGCTATTATCGTTTATGGGTATATTAATTGAAGTGAAAGAAACGAAGGATATATTTATTATAACTTGAAAAATAAACAAAACAATACAAATAGTATATCGTACTTACATTAACATTACACGTTATTATTAAATCGCGAATCGTGTTTTTTAACATTTAAAAACAAGTTTTTCTACTTTACTTCTTGTTAACCGTGTTCTTTTTTTATTTATTTAAAATTAAACCAGATTTTTAGCTTGTGTTCACATTTACAATACTTTATGAATATAGTGGTTAAGTTAGGATATACATGGCGATGGTTTTTCCACCGTTGTAATGGACTCTCGATACAGGTGTATGTTTAGATGAGTTATCTCCACTTAATTGATCAAAAATATACCACGAACTTAAGTCATCTTTATCCGTTTCTTTTTCTTGCACTGCTTGATTTTCAATAGTACAATCTTCTTGTTCTTTAATTATAGAAGTAACCAGCTTCTTAACTCTTTCTTTTGTTTTTTAGCTTCATTTTTATCAGAAAAACCCTGCACTTTAAATCATGGATCCATAAATATGCATCATGACAATGTGCCACTCTGTTTACCGTTTGCTAAAATTTTATTGCAAGATTCTTGCAGGCAGCGTACTATAACAATCACTGAACTACCCTTGAAGTATTTTTGGCCACTCATTGTACTTGTTATTTATTTAAACGGTCGTAAAATTTGGGAAAGTTAAGAACAGATAATCCAGTGTTCTTTATTTAGATTTGGTCTAAGTCTAAGTATATATTAACTAATACCAATGTGGAACAGATTGCCAGTTCTAAGGCGGTCATTTTTTTAACATGTAGTAGGTGAAGTTCTACCTAGTTTCCACGTCTTGGATTGGCCGTTTGGGAACATGTTGTAATTGATACTATAAAAGCCTTTCTGAAGATAAGGTCCATTTTTTGAAATGTGTTTTTTGCTGAATTGCCGAAAAAAGGACTTTTTATTTTATCTATTTGTACACGACAGTACAACAATTTAAATGTTTTCATTCCAAAACATCTTTAATAGCTTTGACCATATTTGAGGCATGATCAGTTACTGCAAAATTTACTTTTCGTTTTAGACCCCACTGATTAATAATTTCACTAATTTCAGAAGCGATATTTTCTGAATTATGGTTTCCAGAAAAATAGCAACAGGCTAATAAAACCGTTTTAAATTCTAAATTTTCGGTTAAATATTATCCTGTTAATGCGATATAACTCTCAGCTACTCCAGATGTCCAGAGGTCAGTAGTAATACAGATATTTTCTACTTCTTTAACAACTTGTGATCTAATAATTTGCTCAGTTTTGATATAACATTCCTGAAATGTTGAACCTGACAAAGTTTTTCTTGTTGGCGGTTTATATCCAGGAATCCACCCTACAAACTTTTTAAAAGCTCGTTCTTCAACTAAGTTTAGTAAATCTTGAAAATCAACCAGTACAAGAAAAAGAAACTGATAAAGATGACTTAAGTCCATGGTGTATTTTTGATGAATTAATTCGACATGACTCATCTAAACATACACCTGTATCGAGAGATATAAAAGAAGTCGACATGATGATATATTACCCACACAAAATTTCGAACGGAGATTGGAACTGTCCATTACCGTGGTGGAAAAACAATTGCCATGTATATCCTAACTTAACCACTATATTCATAAAATATTGTAGTATTGTAACAAAATCTGTTCCTTGTGAACACATGTTCAAAATCTAGTTTAATTTTAAATAAAAGAAGAACACGGTTAACAAGAAAAGTGGAAAAACTTATGTTTTTAAATGCCAATTTAGACGATTCGCGATTTAATAATGTGTAATGTAAATATAAGTACTATTTGTATTGTTTAATTTATTTTTCAAGTTATATTAAATATATCCTTCGTTTCTTTCACTTCAATATTTATACACATAAACGATAATACCTAATATGTTTGTGTACTCGCTAATTTGAATACTGGTAAATAATTAACTAGTTAACTAGAGGACCCACTTCTAGTTTCTTAGCTATATTAAGATCGGAACCAGAGAATGTGTAAAATATCTCTGATCGGAACTAATCGTCTCACTAATGGGCAATGGGCGTCAATAAGATTTATGGAGGAGAGACCAAGGGGAAATATGATTGTTATCTTTGTCTATTCGCTGAAAATATGATTTTATATCTGTGTTAGATATCCTGTTACATTTTACCATACCGACCATAAACTATTTTACCTACACTGTATGTGTGTCTGTGAGCTTTATAAAAAAATCAATAGGAATAACTTACATGTCGGTGGGATGCCATCTAAGAAGAAATTTAACACATCCGTCAGTTTCCACCCTTCTCGCCAAAATTTCGCTTTGCAGATGCACCGAATTGCCCGGTTCGTTTATTTTTCCTAAGGTTCTCTTCTGAGTTAGAAGCAGCAGTTTGAACTGAAGACCCTCCATTACTCCAGCGTCGATAAAATCGAACATCCGTGCTGTATTTAAATATATAGATTAGTAAAATATTCCGTAACAATTATTAGTGTCTAATAGCTAAGAAATAAAGAATATATTTATTTTTTAAATTAATTAATATTTAACTGGAAATAAGCCACAATTAAAGATAAAAATACGTTTATTGACGTTTCAATGTCCACTTCGGAAATCTTTCTCAAAATACAAACTGTTTGTATTTTGAGAACGATTTCCGAAGTGTAAATTGAAACGTCAATAAACGTATTTTTATCTTTAATTGTGACTTATTCCCAGTTAAATAGTAATTAATTTAAAATGCCACAAGAAAATAGCTTCAGAGCAATATTTATTTTTTGTTATCTAGATAATAAAAACTCAACTAAGGCACAAAATTGCATATCGGCTGTAACTGTAATTCTCTTTAATTAAAACATTATAATTAAGATTAAATCAAATATATTACCTGACCACGGTTGTCTTCTAAACCTTATCCGTTTGCCGTTTCTCTTGAATAGCTTGCAGTTGTTCTCTGGTGATTTCTTCAAGTTATTATTCGGGCTACCGTCCGAATTGAAGTGGCTGTTGACATGCCTCTCCAACGTCAACTGTAAGATTAAAACAATGCATTTGAAATCAGTTATTAGCCGTATGGTTCTTAATCTCTATTGATTGTAAACAGACCTCTACCTAATCATCTTTTTGGTTACAGACCTGTGTTATTAATTAAGTAATCCTGGTGTCTAGGGACCTTCTGTGTGATATTGTAACATTTTTTTTATTATTAAAATATTAATTATTTTTAATTTCTTTTACCCCGTGCGATACGCCGATGATTAGGAATTTCCGTGTTTACGATAAGAAAATAATATTGGATCTACTAAATTATAATGGACTTCCCTAATTACTAAAGGTAGTTAATCCTTTCCGTCTTAATACTCAGTATGAAAAGATCTAATGCTTTTGGGTATGCAGGTTCTTTTACATAAATTGATCATTTTCGCCGAAGGCCCGTATCTTTTGACAATAACTTAATCCCAAGTATTGTCTGCTTCTCATGTCCAATTGTTGGTACCGGTAACTCAAAACTTTCGGAATTTTTACTTCCTCAGAATTACCTACAACTGTCCGATGATTTTAAGTGGGGGATATACCTTCTTCTTTTTTCTTGGGAGTTGGTGAAATTTTTAGTGGAACTAACCAGTGTGGCCAGATTGGGCGATTTATCGCCAATTGGGCTACTTTTAACAAGTCTTTGCGACAAAAAATTTAAGAAAATCGCAAGTCGCAAATTGGGCGATTTTATACTTTTTAGAACAAGTCACTTTTTTATAAATAGTTATAGATTTCACATTTCCATCCAATACGAAAATATAAAAAGTCCCTCAATGAGCAAATAACTTCTTAATCTTATATTAATTATTATGATACTTGTACGAAACGACAATACTAATTTTAAAAATGTTGTCTTTATTTCTTTATAAATAAAGTTATTTTATTAAAATTAACAAAAATTCCTATAATTTATATCTGAAGGTACTAGTGGCGATATATGTCGAAAATTGGCGACATTTTGAGATTGGATTGGCGACACGAGAAAAATAAATTTGGCCACACTGGAACTAACTTACTTCTCGGTGGGCTCTCGTTGAGCACAGGTCGATTATCTCGTGAGACTTCTAGGTAGCCTCTCGTTGAGTGTGGTCGCTTGCCTGAAATTATCGTCTCTGTGAATTATTTTCTAAGTGTATATACACTCTATATTTCAGTTTTCTTGTCTTAGACTATATTAAGTTATATATAGTTCTACACTACCTTTAATGGTACCTAATTAAATTCAGTGTTGAATACCAGTACATTATATTAAATTCAGTGAATTAAGCTGCCGTCATCAGGAATTATGTAAGTTACCATAATCTTTATATATTGTGTTAATATATTGTGTTGACCAAATTTATTTGATAATTAACTGTTGGTATATTTCCTTGGGTTTGATCTCTTATCTCTGAAGGATATCTTTCCTTATCTCTTTTCTTTTCTAAGGTTTCTTAATTTTCTCCTTAACCCCAAAAAATTGAGTGGCGCCCTGTTTCTGTCTTCTCTTATCTTTGGTAATTTTACCCATCTATCTTTTTGTTTATTTGTATATCTTTTCTAATATCTCTTATCCTATCTTTACTTATTTCGTCCGTTGGACCCAATCCCGGTTCCAAAAGCTAGTTTCGAACCCACGACAGAGAACTACGAACGCAGTTCTCTGCCCACGACTCGCTCTCCACCAACCATCTGGCTGCCGTCCGCAGTGTTTCCATTGGTTATCTTTCTAGCACCATCCAAAAAAGATTTTCGAGGTTACAATATACAACAGGTATTAGCACTTGCAGAGAGTACAAGATTTATAAACAAATTCAGCTTGTTCGTCTCGTTTCTAGAGATAAAAATCTCTAACGACTGGACTATTGTTAGAAATCTGATCGAAATAGCTTGGATTTTTTTTTTGTTTTTCATCCACATATCTGAGTATGTCCTTATAATTTTATCGTTTCTTGTCTGTTCCTGATTGTTCAGTAATTTTTTTCGCATTTATACGAGGACATCAAAAAAACTAAAAATTGACTTTATACCCCTTAATTTGGATTTGTATCTTATAGGCTACGTCATTTTCAAATATTCAAATTGTCTATCTCTTAAATCATTTACTCACTTTTGTCTGTTAATTGTGTTGCCTATACGTCTACTAAACCCAGAAAGCTAAGTGATCTATAATGCCATATAGTTCCAGATCTATAAACCATCTATAGTGATCACTCAAGATAAGATGGTTGCCTAGTGAACGCCGATTAGAAAAAGGCTGGTAAGTTTTATTCAGTATTAGTGTAAAATAAGTATTTTGTTTTAATACAGGAGGTGAAGTTGTAGTATGATGATGTGTTGTTATCTTACATATTTATAATATTTATATATAAATATCCAAAAGGGACAATACCGAACCATTTTTAAGCTGTATCCTGTAATCTACTTTGCCGACGATATAGTTTTTGTTACGTATCTTATAGTTTACTTTGTAATATATTCAGTATTGTGAGATATTTTTGTTTTGTACCTATCCCACACTTTATTTCCAATTACATTAGTAGAATTTGTTTTAATGAAACGTTTCAAAAGGCTGATGTGGATGATTGGAGCGATTAAGAAATTGAAAGTTATACTAAACCATCTAGAGCTCAAAACCGATGAAAGTTCTGGAGTCGAAAGTTTGCTGAAGTTCAAGAGATTTTTAATACATTATCAGATACATATTCACTATCCGAAAGAGAACATTCAAAACCAGAGCTATCAACAAATCAACCTGCTTATAGTACGCTTAAATCTATTTGCAATATACCTAAATCTGCTTTGAGTCCTCTAAAACACGATCATAACATCAGATACCTGGACCATCTAAAGAAATTAATAACAATACTATCCAACCTAAAGGCAAACTAACAAAGAAATGCACGAAACGACAGAAATTGGTTGAATACCACTGGACGAAAGAAGAATTTCAATATCCTGTGAACATTCCCGAAAATAACTTTTCTGTGGTGGGTGAATTAAAGTCACCATTAGAATATTTCAAAATGTTTTTTCAGAAGATCTATTAGAGTTTATTGTCAACAATACAAACCTTTATTCCGTTCATTAAACACGCAAGTCGATAAGAATTACTAAAGATGAGATAAGTGATACATAGTGATACAGATTTTGATGTGTATAGTAACTATGCCATCATACTTGGACTACTAGAGTGTAAACTTCAGATACGATAAAATATCAGTAATAATGCATCTCAAATTTTCTGGGTAGTTTTGAGCCATCTGTTTCGTTGAGCCATAATAGCACTTATTAGCAAGCACTTTTCTTCTTTTAATTTCTTCGCTGACATTGTTGTCTCTGGTCAGCAGCGAGCCCAGGTAGATGAAGGTGTCCACACCTTCCAGTTCCAGATCATCAATTAATAGATGAAATCAAATATGGTATCAAAAACTCCAAAGGCAATAAGGCAGCTGAATTAGATGAAATAGCAATAGAACTGTTAAAAATAGTAGAGAGAGTTACTTGGAAGTATTGGCAGATTTATTCAACACGGTGTACCGAATAATACCACAAGGGTGGCTGAAGTCAGCATTTATCTTCTTCTTCTTCAGGTGCCATCTCCGCTACGGAGGTTGGCAATCATCATAGCTATCTTAATTTTTGAGGCAGTAGCTCTAAATAGTTGTTTTGAGCTGCATCAAAACCATTCTCTCAGGTTCTTTAGCCATGAAATTCGTCTTCTTCCGATGCTTCTTCTGCCATCTATTTTTCCTTGCATTATGAGTCGCAGGATGCCATACTTATCGCCCCGCATCACATGTCCGAGATACTGTAGCTTTCTTTCTTTAATTGTAAGTTCAATTTCCTTCTCTTTGCCTATTCTTCTCAGTATTTCATTGTTTGTAACTCTATCTACCCAGGAAACCCTCATAATTCTTCTATAGGTCCACATTTCAAAGGCGTTAAGTCGTCTCATGGTATCTAGATTTAACGTCCATGATTCCACTCCATAATATAGTACACTGTATACGTAACATTTTGTTAGGCGTACTTTAAGAGCTAATGTTAGATCTTTGCCACATAGGACCTTTTTCATTTTTATAAAATTAGAACGTGCTTTTTCGATTCTGACTTTGATTTCTGCCGTGTAGTCATTATTTTCTGTTATAAGTGTTCCTAGGTAAGTGTACTTTTTTACTCTTTCGATCTGCTGGCCCTCTACTATCAAGATTTCGTTAGTATTATAGTTGTTTTTACAAATTTTCATAAACTTCGTCTTTTTGACATTAAGAGAGAGTCCGTACTCCCTACTACACATGACTATTTTGTTCATGAGTCTTTCCAGGTCTTGTAAATTATCGGCTATTATTACTGTATCATCTGCATATCTGATGTTGTTAATTAAGACTCCATTTACTCTTATGCCGACTGTTTCATCTTCCAGAGTTTCTCGAATTACCTCTTCAGAATAGGCGTTAAATAATAGAGGTGATAGAATGCAGCCTTGCCTGACTCCTCTCTTTATTTCCATTTCTTCAGATGTTTCTTTTTCGATTCTTACTATTGCTCGCTGATTGTAATAGAGGTGTGTTATTAGCCTTAAATCTCTTTCATCTAGGTTTTTATTTTTTAGAATTTCCAGGAGTCGATCATGTTTTACTTTATCAAACGCTTTATTGTAGTCTATAAAACAGACGTAAAGAGGGCGGTTAACATCCAAACATCTCTGTGTCAGCACATTGAAGGAGAATAATCCCTCTCTGGTACCCATACCATTGCGGAACCCATATTGAGTGTCACTAATATCCAGCTCCAGTTTAGAGTGTATTCTGGCGTGGATAATTTTCAAGAGAATTTTCAAGGTATGTGACATTAAGCTTATGGTTCGATAGTCACTACACTCTTTGGCATTCACTTTCTTTGGCAAACATACAAATGCTGATGTCAACATTTCTCTAGGAATGATTCCCGTAGTATAGATAGCGTTGAACAGTTCTACTATTATGTCCAGGTTTTTCTCGTTAACCAACTTTAGTAGCTCGCTTGGTAATTCATCTGGACCAGCAGATTTATTGGTTTTCATTGAGTTTAATGCCTGACTAACCTCTGATTTGGTTATCTCTGGACCTACATCTCCCGTTTGGCTATCTACAGATGTACTAGCTTCTCTCTGGTCATGAAATAATTCTTCGATGTACTCTTTCCATCGTCGTAGTTTTTGTTCTGTTTCCAATATAATATTTCCATTTTTGTCGAGCAATATATTTGAGGTTCTTCTATTTCCTACTCCGGCTAGTTCTTTGACTTTTTTATGTAGGTTGAAGTTGTCATATCTGTTTTGAAGTTCTTCTATTTCTTTACATTTTTCAGAGAAGTAGGTCTCTTTAGCCTCCCTAATTTTTCTTCTTATTTGGTTTTGAAGCTGTTTATAGCGCGTCTTATTGATGGTTTTGTTTTTTCTCCTTTCATTCATCAACTCTAGAATTTCCTCTGTCATCCATTCTTCTTTCTTATATTTAGTTGTTGTAAGTAGTTTCTTACTTGGCTCCAATATAGAGGTTTTGAAGAATTGCCACTGCTGCTCTACGTTGCAGTTATTTCCTGGGTTTCTGTCTAGATTTGTGTTGATTTCGTGTTTCAGATTTTCTTTTGTTTCTTCTGACTTTAGTTTCTGTATGTTAAGTTTATTGTTATTGCGGCTTTTTTGTGTCTTTTTTAGTTGAAGTTGAAATCTAGCAATAAGAAGACTATGATCAGAAGATACGTCCGCTCCTGGATATGCCTTTACTGCCTGAATTGAGTTTCGATATCTGTGTTTTATTAGGAAGTAATCAATTTGATTTCTGACGATTTTGTTGTCTTTGTCAGCTGGCGATTTCCATGTATAAAGGCGTCGCTTAGGTAATTTAAAGAATGTATTTGCGGCTATAACATTGTGCTCCTGGCAAAATTCTATTAGGCGATCCCCTCTGTCGTTTCGTTCACCAAGCCCATATGGTCCTACATTAGGGTAGCATTTTCCCTCGCCAATTTTTGCGTTGAAATCACCCATGATCACTGTTACGTCTCTAGATGCTGTGAGATGTAATGTTTTTTGAAGTTCGCTATAAAAGTTTTCTATTTCTTCTTCATTTTTGTCAGAAGTTGGTGCATAAATCTGAATTAAATTCATTTTTCCATGGGTTGTTAATAATTGCACCATTATAATTCTTTCAGATATCGGAACGAAGCCTGTTACTGATCTCGTTAGTTTTTCAGTGAGGATCATAGCAACTCCATATCTGTGTTGGGTGTCGCTGCTTCCAGAGTAATAAATTCGTCCATTGTCTGTATTGATTTCGCCAGAGCCGACCCATCTTGTATCGCTTATTCCTAATATATCGATCTCTAGTCGCATCATCTCTTGCTGTATATTTCTTAGTTTCCCAGGTTCATACATACTTCTTACATTCCATGTAGCTATTTTGTAAGTGGATTTGTATATATTTAGTGAACAGGGATTTCGCTGACTAACGGCCTGGGAAGCCCTGTCGTTACTGCTGTTTCTTCCCCTGCCGAATCTTGGCATCCGAGAACCATGATTAGTAGGTTGTTGATTGTCATTTTTATTAGCCATGACGATTTCTAGGGATACTCCAAGAGTCTTTAATGCAGTGGTTTCCTGTTGCCTTCTGCATTCTTACGCCGTTGGCCGTTTTCTCGGCTCGTCCGCCTTCAAGATCGATTTCTCAGTCTCAGGGCAAAAGAGTGCCCTTGTCTCTTACTAGCTCATCCGCCCGCAACCGTTGGCCAATAAAAGGAGTTCTATATCAACCCTAAAATCGAGGGTTGCCACTTCCGCCATCCACACCGTACCGAAGCTCCGCTTCTCCGCCGTGTTTGCCGTTGTGGACTTCATCCGTAACCCTGGACAAGGGACCCTAAACAGGTACTAGTTTCCCGGGTCAGGAAACCCCCGGAATCTGCGGAGGGCAGGGATCGATTCATTTTCCCTGATAGGACTATCTTCAAGAGTTTAAAGAGTTCCTACCCGCTACCCGTCAGCATTTATAACCATACCTAAAAAACAAGCATCAAAAGAGTGCTCTGATTATCGAACAATGAACCTCATGAGTCATACTTTAAAAGTAAGCTTCAAAAGGCTAGAGACGCAGTTCGGGTTCTGAAATAGAATGGGTACTCGAGGAGAACTATTTGCCATCAACATATTGATTCAGCGATGTTGGGATGTAAACGTTGATCTATACTTGTGTTTTGTTGACTACGCAAAAGCTTTCGATAAAGTAGGGCATGAAAAACTAGTACCAATACTTATGAACAAGCGCATTGACAGTAAAATCATAAATGTAGTGCAACCATTATATTGGAACCAGACCAGATATTCTCTCCCCAGACTGGGATCTAACTTCATCGGTTTTACCAATGAACCTTAACGACATAAATATTCAAAAGACCTACTTGCAATTGTTCAGCGCTTGCGTTCTATGAAAACAGAAGTTCACAGTCAAACTTTACAACAATCAAAAATTTAGTTATTGCCGACAATTCAAAGAATTACTTCCTTTAAATGTAGTTACATTGGGTTTTTCGATTAACCTTGGGTAAACCTTTGCGTTTTAAGTTCAAAGCTACCATACATTTCCAACGTTAACAAATAAACTTTTTTGCACATAGTAACAAAAAAACACCACTATGTTGTTACTAGCTAAAGTTTTTTAACATCATAACTCGACATTTCTAAAATTTACGGTAAGGTAAATGTTTTTTATTAGATAATATATGGTAGCTAATTATAATTTATTCTCTTTCAGCCCTGAAGAAGCCAAATTAATTTTCTGTGGCGAAAACGTTAGACGAAACAATTGATACACATTAGAGTTTTCTTGCAGATTTCGCCAATATATATATATATATATATATATATATATATTATATATATATATATATATATATATATATATATATATATATCTACCCAGTGGTTAGGCGGCACACGCCCTTCGGGTAAGGATCTATGGAGGAATATCACTGAGACGCAAGCCCTTATCTCTTGCCGTACTGCTCCACCATAGGCCGATCAGACACCAGAATATTCGAGTCTAAGCCGCAGATTCATGTAGAATTTTAAACTGCTGCGTTAGCCTTTTTGTTTTCTGTACACCGAACTGGGGATCGAACTCACATCCGATGAAGCACTCCCAGTGAAACGAATGAGAATCCGGCCGACCAGCCCGCTTGGCTATCTGACCGACGGCTATGTTTCTTATAAGATACATAATAAATTTTACAATAAAATCTTATCTTGTGGGATACACTACATATCTCTTTTATTAAAAAAAAATAATAATATAAAAATCGTAAAAATGCCTTTTAATATACCATATCACAATATCTAAACAGAAATTTCACAAAAATTACTGTTTAAGGCTTGCCAAATTAAGGGTTAACAAGTATTTTTGAATAATGTTATTGTTTCATCGAAACCACTCACAACTCATATCTAATAAGGAAAAACCGATAATAAAAATGAATTTAGTAGAAGGTTGACTTACCTGTGAGTTAAATCTTTGGCCGCATCCATCGACAATGCATCGGAAAGGTTTCGTCCCAGCATGCGCCAACACATGCCTTTCTAACCAAGATCTTGAGCAAGAAGTCCTACCATGAACTTTACAGCCTAGCCATAAGCACACATAGTGCTCTTGAGTTGCTTGAGATATCACATGTTTTACCTGTGAAATATGACTATGTTAAATAGCAATTAGGGCAAATAGAAATTAGCAACAACCTAATTTTCGTTTAAGGAAAATGAAGCTGGTACTGTAACTTACCAAAGGCATCAAAAGCAATACTGAGACGTATATTGATATGTGTGAATTGAAATTTTAACTTGAATACATTTAAAAAATATATGTAATTAATGATATGCCTTATTTTGAGATGATATAAATATATGAATGCATAAAATTATTTATAAAACATATAATTATACATAAGGAAACAAGGAAATATAGGGATTTAGAAATTAAATAAAGAGAAAACAATAAAAAATAAAGTATAAGTGAAATAAAGAGTAAAGATAACACAACACAACTGCGTAGAACCAAAAGAGAGTAAGTACAACAAAAATTCTTGTATAAAATATCTGATATGAAACAATATACCTGGAAATAAACATTAAGAGTTTTTTAGGAGATATTCAACTTATAAACCACACAGAAAATGATGTAGAACAAGCTGACATTATTAAAGATATATTGATTAGATTACTGACATGATATTAATGTGTTTCAATATATATAAAATAATGCTTTTCTATTCTATGATGTTCTGATCACCTCCACGAGTTCTTGCATTCGTATATGGTCAATTCCATGTGAAGTTTGTAATTCACATAGAATTACAATCCATGATAGAGGATGGACCATATCGTTCCACACAACAGAAAAACACCCCACCCCCGACTACTATGTTACTTGTCACTTTTCCTCTGCTCTTAAGTCCTCTTTTATACAACAATTACTGTTAAGATTACTTGAGCTTATATGAGTTTTGATAGATAGGACTGTTTAGCTTAGGATTTTATTAAAAATTAGAACGAAATTTTATTGCACTTATAACGAGACATTGTTTTACATATAAAAAAATTAATATAACCCTCTAATGTAAAAAAACTTAAACCTCTCCATTTTCGTCCTCTTTAGCTACATAGCCTACAGGTAATAATTCTTCCCAAAAGTTTCTCCTGTTGGCTGGAATTCTAGCTTGCAGGTTATTCAGTAAATTTTGCTTTTTCTCTTGACTAATTCCTCGTTTAGATGTTCGTGGAGATGGAAGTGTCACACCAGTTTTAAATGTACCTGCAGTTAAAAAGTTCAATTCTGTCAAATCTTTTGTGTCATTTGTGAGTTTTTATGTTTTAATGTTTTCTCGCCTCTCGTAAAAAATTGCCAGCGAAATATTATTGAGATCCACTCATAGAAATGTCTAATGTTTAATGCTACAACATCGGTGTCTTTTGTTGAATTTAGAACACATTGAACATATGTCATTAAAATTAAAAACAGTTTTGGCTCTCTTTAATGATTTTTCTACCTGGTGGTGAAAATGGTCCGCGGACATAAACGTGTGTCCGCGCTCAAAATATTTTATGGTTAATTGTTTGGAGTTAACTTCTGTACCAAATATTGTTCTGTCCGAGTAATTCTTCTTCTTACGGTGCTTATGCGTTCCGGATGTTGGCGATCAACATGGCTATCCTAACTTTGCTTGCTGCTATTCTGAATAGTCCGGTTGTCGATGTATTAAACCACTTTCTCAGGTTTAGAAGCTAAGATATTTTTCTTCTCCTTGGTCCAAATACCTTGCTCTGAAGAATAAGTTGCAACAAGCCGTATCTCTGTTTATTCCGCATAACATGGCCAAGGTATTCTAGTTTGCGCTCTTTGATGGTGTTAATAATCTCGCATTCCTTGCCTATTCTACGTAGGACCTCAACATTAGTCACACAATCCACCCATGAAATTCTTAAAATACGTCTGTAACACCACATCTCGAATGTATCGAGTTTTCGGAAGAAGCTTCGGAAAGTGTTCAGGCCTCTACTCCTTATAATAACGTAGAAAATACATAGCATCTAATGAGAGAGATTTTGGTAGCAAGTGGTAAATCGTGACTTCTGAAAAGAGACTTCATCATTATAAACGCTGATCTCGCTTTTCCTATGCGTTGTTTTATTTCATTTCACTGGAGTGATCTCATTGGCTGTTAATGTTGGTACCAAGGTATGTGTAGCTGTCCACTCTGTCAATTGGATGTTGGTTAACCAAAAGCTGTGTATTTAATATTTCGCGCTTACTGACTACCATGTACTTTGTTTTCTTCGTATTAAGATCAAGTCCGTGTTCCCGAACAATTATCCAACCAAATTGTTATTGATTCTTTATCTCTGTTTTTAGAAAGAATGCGTAGAAAGTAGACACTATATCTTCTTTTTTCTTCCTGATATTCCTTCGTGCCACAAAATTCCTAAAGGACGGACGTCTCTACCTTTCCTGACAACAACAAAACTTTCGTTAAAAAAGCTATTATGCGCTTAGTAAAAATTACTTCTTTAAATATCAAGATCTGCTGAAACTATGAGATCTGATGATATTCGTTGCGATTCCGCATCTCTTTCATAGTCTTTCCTGGCAGTAATATATTTATTTCTGTGAGATATATAGTTTTTACACACTACACATTTGTGTGTTGGATTAATATTATTAACTTCGGTCTTAATTATGAAGCACACTGGAAGCACTCTTCACACCCAAGTTGTGCAAACGATATGTTGAGTTTTGCAATTTTGCTGACGATAGGGCTCATAACTGCCCTGACAATTAGGATTCTTTATTTTGTAATGATTGTATATCATTGTAATTGAAATATCCGATGAGGTCCAGGAAGAAGAAAAACATCTTGGTTAAAGAACTTCATAATCTGGTTCAATACAACATCTGTGCAGCTTTTCCTCGCTGCTGCAGATAAGATAAAGATTGCCATGATGATCGCCAACATTCTCAACGGATAGGCACATCAAGAAGAAGTATACACGATTGGGAGCATGCTCCTGACGATAATGAGATATGATAGATCGAAAGACTTTATATGTTCAATGATCGGTTGTTTGTCAATAAAATTCAGAGCTGCTCGGTGCCCTCGTTGGTCTTGTTTGGAAACAATAGCATTATTATTATCAGTTCCTCTAATATTTTTTAAAATTCGATCATAATTTTTGTCATAGCCTAACGTGGTAAGGGAAAAAATTTTAGATACTTGCATATCTTATGCTTTAGCATCTCGTAAATAATATTTATACGAACATTTGCGACGCGAATCAATTACAACAGTATTTTTTTCTTCTGTTTAGTTGTTCAACACTACCGTGCACAAACAAACGTTGAGCTTGCTTGTTAAATTCCCAATACTGCATGCTAATTTTCTCGTCTTGCTTCATTTACCACTTCTGAATACTTCATTATGAGGTGTTTTTATTACAGGATTTTTTATTCTGAAGTCACTAGCGACAGATGATAATTTCTGCTTTTTTCTCTCGGCAAGTGTTGTCTCATTTTTTTTCCCCTTTTTGGTGTACATCTTAGCGTAATTGTGTTCTGCAATGTCTATGGACGAAGTGACCATGTAGTTGACCATAGACTGGAGTAATTGATCAATAGGCGCATCTTCTTTGACTAAACTTTCATTATCAGACATATCTGGAGTATGGGACAGGCAGTCGTTATTTTCATCACTGATACAGCCTTCTTCTGCAGACGCTTCAGATAAGGACTCTCTACAAAAATCGTCTTGCTTTGGATCGTAGTTGGGATCATTGTTAACATTTTTGGTATTGACAAGCTTTTTATTTGCATGTTTATTTTAATTGCATGTTTATTTAACCATTTGACGGCTACGGCTGGTGGAAGCGTTGTTGGCTATTCTAGAATAAAACAAAGCAATACTTTATACGGTTAACTGTAACTGACTGTTATATATAAATATATAACATATAAATAACTGTTAACTGACTTAACTACTGCAATTATAAGTCAATTTCATCAACACTAAAAAGTACTAAAACAGGAGTATATAATATAATATGTAGCTTGTTCCTTAATTAATCAATAATAGAATTATTTACGGATTATATTATTAAACTGTCTAAGCGAGTTTTTTATGTTGAAGATTTTGCAGTTACATTTACAGTAAGTTCCAGCTCCAGCACAGTTAATAGGTTAAGTGCCATCATATTGAAAAATTGAATGTCTTCATTGGCCGACAATTTTTTTTTTGTTTCTAAATCAAAACATAACTAAAATTTTGGTTAAAATTTAATTTTTCAAATGTGAGACCACGTTTGATTTTTGAGGTCACCAACAAGATTTTTATCACAAAATACTTATGAGAGTCCAACGTGACATCACGCCTTGAGTTATGAATTTCTGTGGATAACGTGTCGGCATTTAGATTAGAGAGGTACAATCAGTGGCTTACCCAGGGGGGTTGGGGGTTAAACCCCCCAGAGCCCTATTCCGACACTGTTACTCACAAATTTTAAGGACTTAAAATGGTGGAGACAGTATAAAAATTTTCGGTGCCCAACCAAACCTAGGTGCGCCACTGGATACAATGCAGTCATACGAGAAGTGGCAACAAAAACTTGGCAAGCAATTATGTCAGATGAAGAATCGGATTAGCTGTGCCACACGTATCTTTCGGACGAGTACTAACTAACTGATTCTAGTGACAGTGAAAATGAATCGAGTACTCCGGAACAGAATAAAAAAAGAAAACGTGTGTTTCCACAAGTAAAGAAAAAGAATATACGAATATTGGAGAAAATGTTAATGCTGATATAGAATCTGTCGTTGCTCAACATTCTGAAGTCTCCAAATAGTAAATTTCAAAAGAACGAATAGTATCTTATTATGAAAGTAATTCGGGCATCGTTGTTCATAAGTGAAGAGACAAGCGAGACATGCTGACGATAAATACCAAATTCGCTGACGAAATGGTGATAATGCAGAAGGCACGCGGTGATGTTGTAAAGCCAAGGAATGTCATCGTATATAATAAATATAAAAGTTATATCATTGATATATTAGATCAAATGAAAAGCTATAATTGGCCATTAGGTAAAGGAATAAAATGGTACAGAAAGTTGTGGATGGAGCTCTGATGGCCGCGCATC